AATGGTGCCATATAGTGTGGAAACAAGTACTATATCAACAAATAACTATTGGAGATTACTCAACTTGTGGTTTAAATTGTGATTTGAAGCAAGTGTTTGATGATTTATGCATGTATCTTACAAGATGCTAATCTGGAGGCTACAGATGTCTGAAGTTCATCATTCTGTATTTGGCATCGTGTCCATATTAAGAATACAATAATACATTCTGCGGTACATATATTTTTATTCTGAATGTTGAAAGATCCTTTGAATTAGAGCTCATTAAGGAGCCAAAATACAGTATTGCTACATGCAAGCTAACACTGCTGTGCACTGAATTGACATGAGACTGGCAATGGCAGATAAGTTGTAGTTAACTACTGCTTTGGTAGCAGTAGCCTACAGTTTGGGCCTGTTTACACCTTCCATTAAAGTTGCAATGTGTAAGATCTAATGGTGAGGTTGCCCTCACCCCTCCCTTTCCAAGCGTGTAGTAGAACCTACTGTGGCTGTCAGGTTTTCTGCTGTCACCTGTCCAGATTTTGTTTTGCTTTTATAGGTTTTTGCTTCTTTGACAAAGAGGATTTTTCTCACTTTTTCTTGTGCTAAATCTTAAGTATGATACTTCATTTGTTAAAATTTGGGTTCTCAAACTTCTCGCAACACAAAATGGTTAGCCAGCACCAGCAGCAACCACTGATTCTTCTTCTTTCTATGTCTTCTATCCGGTGCTATAGTGCCACTAAATTTTAGCTGCTGCTTCATTGTTAAAATGTAAAAGGCACTGTAGAAACATGGCGGCGCAACATGGCAGCGTCTGTTGGAAAAGGACCTGCTCCCTATATAGATATTAAAGGCTCATTCTCACAAAAACACAACAATTTGTAGTTACAAATGATTATACACTAATGAAAACATAGTTTTGTGTACTATATTCCTTTTCTGCTCATAGATTCCCCTTAATCTTTCACACTGCACCTTTAACGTGTGTTTCATGACTTGATTCTACCTGGATTCATTTTAAACATCTCACTGAAATGCTTCCCCATTGTGACCAGATGAGATCCGATTGTACTTTCCCATGTAAAAAGCGCATCAAATGTTGTGTCCATTCTTTTGTCCCGCATTATGACATGAGTCGACAAGCTTGGCTTGTACACTTTCATTGAGAGTACAAGAAGGTCTTGGTTTTGGGATAATGCTAGACTTGTGTATCCTCCATCATCTTAAATTTATCATGAAGTAGAGTGTTATCTGAAGGGAAACAGCAACAGCACTACTTTCTCACATGGTGAGATGAACTAGGAGAAAGACTCAGTGAGGGCTCTGAAACATCAACACGCACTCAAATGGCCATTTAGACCCACCACTGAGCCCGTTCCTCAGCCTAATCCCTCAATCCCTCGACCCTCCTCACAGCTCCAGTGCTACGGATCAGGACAGCAGCAGTGCAAACACAGCTTGAAGCGTGTCCATAATATCCCTGGGCTTAAGTGCTCTCTCCTAGGCAGTCTGGAGAGGAAGTTTAGCCCTGGGCCAGTGGAAGCTCTCTGCCCGCAGGCTTTCTCAGGAAAAATGCATGAGCTTCCGACAGAGGTGGCAAAAGGATGTGTGCATGAAGGTGCAGAGATGAAGTAGGTTAAACACTGTAGCATGTCAGAGGAGCTCGTCCCTTCAGGGGAGGAGATCTCCCCAGGGAAATATGTCGCAGCTCCAACAGCCTTACGCACTCGCACACTTGTGCACACATATATTCTAGTTTTTTAAATATTGTCAGGATGAGGGGTCATACATATGTCTCATATGAATCACATATATGTAGCTACCAATATGCACTAACAATTTTCTGGGCCTAAGGCTAAACCTAACCTCAGCCTTAGCCTTAAAGGAGAATTCCATATTTTTAATTTCTGCATAATTCAATGGATGAGATGTAAACAGTCATTCAGAGTGGTTTAATGTGAAATGGTGAAACTTACTGACTTGTACTGTGGTGGTAATAGTTGTGTTCATGTTTTCAGGGCATGTTAATGTAAAACATTTCTTTTTTTATTGTATGGAATTTATCAATCATGGATAAATGGTTACAAACTGAACATTTTCAGGTATTCTTTGCTGCTTATTATGTTGCGTAATTACACAGTCAAGTTGAATTCGATAGGCTACATCAGGGTCACCCAATCCTGGGCCTGGAGATCTACCACCTTGCAGAGTTCCGATCCATCACACCTGGCTATAATATCCAGACGCCTCTGAACACCTTCATTACCTCATTACCTAGATCAGGTGTGTTAGATTAGGGTTTGGGCTAAACTCTGCAGGGTGGTAGATCTCCAGCAACAGGACTGAACACCCTGGGCTACATTGTTTATCGTGTTTGTTTGCATTTTAAAAGATCATATTGGTTAAATCTTGTATCCTGCTGAAGCTTTTGTTGTTGGTTGTGTGGGCCGCAAGTCCCAAAACCTGGGAACCCCTGTTTTAGAGGAATCAAACAAACACTTTGGATATCTGGTGTCACCTAAACTGTTCTAAGTTTCTCTATAACAGAGCATTTCGAATCAAGCCACTCAGAAGGAGTCTGTTTACATCTTAGACTTAATTATGCAAAAAATTGGAAAATCTATGGAATTCCTTTTTGACATCAGAAACCAAAAAAGTAATGTTTTTGAACATTCAATTTAAAAACTGAATTTGGGCATTTTTGTCCTAAAAATGTACAAAAACAAGAGTGTACACACACACACACACACACACACACACACTCAACTGCTAAGAAGAATGCAAACATTAGCTGATTATGAAAAACAGCAAGACATCACAGAAAAAAGGTGCTTTATTTCAAAACAAACTGTATTCCAAAAGTTGTTTTTTACAAAATAATGCTCCGTACTCTCCACACAGTTCATTTCAGTATTTTTTTTCCTTTCAGTTTTCATTCATAACATTTATTTATACAGTAGCTTCTCTGTACAAAAAAAAAGGTGAACAAAATGCTCTGGAGAAGCATGAGTGACCAACGAAACTGAACAGATTTGAACACCTCTCATCACAAACAGTTATGTGGCAGGTGTGTTTAGTGTGATCTACTGTCAAATCTCTGCCTTTATACAGGAGAAAACAAACAAACAGACAAAAACAAGGCTTTCCCAACGGCCAACATATATACAGAACAACCACCTCTTAGTCTTCTGCTCAGTTACACGACCTCTACCCACTCCGACTATACACTTAATTTTAACGAAAATTCCTTTTTCTTGTGCATTGCAACTCAAGTGTCACAAATGTCATATTCTGTGAGCAAAATATGCTATTGTCTGACTATTTAAGCAAAAGCAATCATACAAGCAATGGCACGAAAAAGGCTTTCGAAAGTGAAAAAGGCAAAATGGAAGGACAGGAAAAGAACAGAACAGTTCAGGATGATGCCCAATGCACCTGAACTGGTCATTTTACTCACCACTCAATTACTCCTCCAAAAATGATACTCACATGTTCACAGACAAATGATCATAATCACTGATGCCTTTAGAATGCCACTGTAAAAGATCCGCACCTTCACAATAAGGCACTGCTGATCTCCCTGACCTAGACACAGCCGCTAGAAAACTCAGAATTATTACTCTTCTTTCGACCTGGTCAGCTAAACTCATTTCAGCCAAACTTAGACGAATATGGGACCGTAGATCGTCCACTACTCTCATGTGAGACTGCCTGAATTCTGAATCCAGAGAAATAGGAGACTATTGCACTACTGGACAGACAGCTGAGCCATCAAATATACTGTGGAGGTTAACACCAACTGTATTAGCACACAGACTGTATGAATATACACAGACACACACATACAGTACTGTGCAAAAGTCTGAGACCACCCTCAATTTATTTAACTTCCAAAGCGGCCATTAAGTATTTAGCATTTAGTGTGTCCACACTTTGCTTTCATAACAGTTTCCGTTCTTTTTGGGAGCCTTGCTTTCAGTTTTTCAAAGACATCTGCAGGAATATTTTTTTCATTCCTCCAAAGTTTAGTCTTAGAAGTTGGTTTCATTTTCTGCTTCTGACAAATCAAGTAATGTCAATTACGAATTTAGACTCCATTCAATAAAACCAATTTCAATTTCCTTTTCTCAGTAACAGCACAATTATTAATCAATTAATTTTTTGAACTCCAATTGCGGAAGCTCAGTTCTTCCCCTCCACTTATTTTCATTTGACTCTCCCCTTTCTTATGCAAGTGGATCATCTGACATCTAATCTCTTAATAAATATCCCCTGCAACATGAATAAACTGTACATAATGACCATTCTGACTTGAAATTAAATAAATGAAAGGAGGTCTCTGACTTTTGTACACTCATATAGGCAAGGAAAAAGGCACCAAAACTTGATTTCATAAGAACCAATGTATACTTAACCGAGGTTACATCAACAGCTGTTAGTCGATCTGGAACAATGTAATCAACATTAACACTGGGCAGTGTTAAAGAACGATACTGACTGCGACGGCTATAATTTCTGTTACATAATGAATGATTAACTCCGTATAAATCTGAACACTTGAGTGACGGAACACTCATATGCGCACACCTGAATAAAGCCTACCCTGTGCTGCAGTCGCTCTCTCTCTGTGTCTGGATCTCTGTGCTTCAGTGCACTCCAGTCCTGTCTGGCCCCGCCTCCTCCCTCTCACTACTCTGAATGCCTGGGGAAGGGAATTAAACATTGCCATGGAAACCGCCACCCTGTTGACAGGAGCTAATTTCTGTTTCCATTAGAATGATGAGATTACTGAAAGTTCATGCAACTGATGGGAACTCGTCCATCACGTTGGTGCCATTTGAAACACTCATCCTTCGGAATAGTTTTTTCTCCCCCTCCCCTTTCAAAAACTGAGAATTACAGGTTGACTGAAATATCTTATTCAGTGTAAGTCAACGAGGACATTTAGCTACGAAAAAATCCAACTTAAATCCCTATTGACATCACTGTTGAATACAGAAAGGGCCTCTTTTTTCTGCTTTTACATCTTGGTCCCCTGATATCCTTTAGATAAAACAACAAAGTGACAGGTCATGCCAAAATAACAAACAGGAGAGGGTGTAAACTATGGGGACAAAAAATAAAGAAGAAGGTGCAGAAGTACTTTTCTAGTTATTATGTTTACATATTCTAGTTCTACCCTCGTGTTCTTTTGCAGTTTGAAGTCTTTTTGCAGTCCCTTCCTGCTGCTGCTGTTTTGCCCTGGTTTTAAACATACCACTCCCTGCGGGAGATCATGGAACCATCCGTATGCGAGACATAGTCATTGTCATAGCAGTCCTCCGGCAGGTAGGGGGAGCCGTTGCCCATGGATTGAGGAGCAGGGTACCTGCGGTGCTCCGGCTGGAGGGAGCCCCTGTGGTTGTGCTGCCCAGGGTGGAAGCTGTGTGGGTGACTGGGGTGAGGGTGGTGGGGATTGGGGTGGTAGCTCTGTTGGTGGTTGTGGTGGTTATGGTAGTTGTGGTGGGCGTTGGCCTCTCGTATGACTCTGCTGCGGCCATTGGGGGACCTTTCTCGGTCGAAGTCGCCCCACTCCTCTCGATCTTTGTCAGGGTAGATGCTGCCGTTGCCATCGTGGCTGGGTTTGAGTTTGGAGTCAGGGCTGGCCCGGCCCCCCTCATTGCTGTAGACCTGCTGCAACTCATGGGGCTGTGGTGTTTTCTGCATGTCTGAGGGTCCGAGGTACTGCTTGGTGTAGTAGTCACCACGGAAGGTCCGCCGCTGGCGCTGGTAATAAATCCCGCCCAGCACCAGCAGCAGCAGCAGGAAGAGGGCTCCGCCCACCGCCCCGCCCACTATGGTGCCCAGGTTGCCCTCGTGCAGCGGCGCCAAGGTGGGAGAGGTGAAGAGCGCCCTCTGCTTATTGCCAGGCGCTGTTACAGAGATGCCGGCGTTTAGGAGGAGCACGGGGGTTGTGGGAGGCATAGCGGTGGTGGAAGGAGGATCTAATGGAAGAAGGAGGGAGGGAAGGAGGGAGGGAAGGAGGGAGAGAAGGAGGGAAGGAAGGGACATAGGAGGAGGAGGCATGGACAGACAAAGAAAAGTAGAGAATGTCAATGCCAAACTACATCTGAATATTATTAACATTTATCACGATATTGGTTTTAAAGCTCATCTACTGGCAATGAACTCTACATGAAAATTAAACTTCACTATTTCTTCTACAGCCATTAACACAGCAGTTCCAGGTTTTGCTTAAAATGAAAAGAAATGATAAAAATCATATAAAAGGTTTAACCCTAGGTTTATTATTCGCTTATGAACCTTAAAGGAACGGTTCAGTCAATAATGCCAATGTTGCTAACAATGAATGAAAGTTAATACACTGCCAATCAGAAGTATGTAAATGACATGCTACTTGATGACTACAACACCCATTCATTTATTAGCAACATTAACATGTACGGTGGTGCTATGCCCTAAAGAGTTATTCACTAACTACTATGAAGGTAATACGCAAGTTGTGTAGTTATGAGAGGGGAATTAACGTGTCGGCCATAAACAGGCCCTTAAGAGTGTAACTGATTAGCCATGTTTCTTCTGGCGTTTCTCAGAACAGCAAAATCTGGAACTGTTGTGCAAAGCAAATAGTCTACAACAAAAGTAACTACAACATAAAATATGAGGAAAGGGGTGAGAAAAGGGTTAGAGAATGTTTTCCTCTTCGAGGCTTTATGACGAGGCAATCATGAGGTTCTACATACTGGCTTCTCTCGCTAACTCCACACATTCCAGCACTAATGGAGGCAACAATGCGAAATGTTTTTTTTCCCCTGCAACAATGAAACCTAGTGTGGAACACTGTGTTAGCTGAGAGAGGGAGTACGGATGAGTAAACAGCTGATGAGGATAAACTGAGGGATTTTGTTGGAGGGAACATGGGTGGGGAAAGATTGTGGGCTACTAAGGGAAGGAAGAAGTACATTAGTCGGTCTATCAGGGTGACTATTTATCAAGTCCAAGGCTATCTAAGCAACAAGATTCTTGAAGGCCATTACCATGTACTGACCGCTTGATTGGGTTAGGGGGCTGGTGTGTTGCATTTGAGAGCATTCTGGGGCATGCATCTCCACTATGCAAGCAGCAGTCTCACTAGAGAAGGGCTGGAGTCAAGCTATCACATTACAGTGTCCCATTCCATAAGTAGTGAGAGCTTATTTGGCTGTCAGCGTCATGCGTGCACGCATAAACAGTAGAGAGTATATTCAGCGGCAGGGTATTTTCCACAGTTCCACAGTGAGAATGGTTGCAGACAAAGCTAAAAGAAGGCAGTTAGTCTGCTCGTCCTCTTGCAGTCCTGAGGTATAATGTAGCAAATTCTATGCATTCCTGTACACTGTTTTCAAAAGGCCAAGGACAATACACACAATGCAACAGACAGAAATGAGCGACACTGTTTATGAATGTGTGCCCATGCATGCAAGTCAAGGACTGGGCACGTCAAAGAATGGATGAAAAACACCTGAATTCCCGAACGTTTGAACACAGCCCTCCAAAATTTTGTCAGCACACAGTAATGCCTCTCTCAGCGCATGCTCTGTTATTAAAGGCATTAAATTACCTCTGATAAAATGCTGATTATCTCAGCTTAAATCACAAGGGCACGGATAATGACAATTTATTTTAATGTATTCGATTCAGCCCTGTGACGTAAAGAACGATTTGTCCCGATCAATACACACCAGAGCCCTCCAGCCTCAGTATGTCATGGAGAGAGAGCAAGGAAAAGTGGTGAGAAGAGGACAAAATGCTGAAGGTCAGAATATGTGTGTCTCTCTGTCTCTGTCTCTCTCTCCATCTATCCATCCATATCTTTTTCTCTCACATGCTTGATTTTATACCTTGTCACATGAGTGTATATATAGGGAGCAGATTTTAAAACCTCACAACAAATTTTAGGCACCATTTGAAAACATCAGCTGGAATTCCACAAGTTTTTTAAAATCTGCATAATAAAATGGTGAAGATGTAAAACCCATTTAGAGTTGTTTGATGAGAAATGCTCTGTTTTAGGGAAACTTACATACTCACAATTGTTCACAGTAGTGGTGAAAGGAACCAGACATCTGAAGCGTTTAATGCCTTTTAAAGCCACCTCACAGGCAGAAGTTAAAATGGTTACAAATATGCAGCCTAATGGCAGAGACAGTAGTTTTCCAGTAGTTTTGCTAATTTTGGTCTTAAGCATATACATTTTTTATATAGAGAAGTATACACAGAGTGTTGTAAGGCTAAATAATACCATAGCAAACTTTTTTTTCCAGATGTGCCACTATTTTATCTTTATTAACATTACATATAAAAAGTCAGAAGACACATAAACGTTAACTGGACATTTTGGAGAGTACATAAAATAGCTTTGTCTGTGTTGCTGACATCTCTGGTTCCATCGCAGTCTCTGGTTCACCACTGTTAAAAAATCATAAGTCAGTAAGTTTCTCTACAATGCCCTATTTTACATCAAACCACTCTGAATGGCTGTTTTCATCTCAAGGATTTAATTATGCAGAAATTTTGAAACACCATAATTCCCCTTTAACCTTATTAACAAGGAATGGTTCTGCTATTTCAACAAAAAAGGCAGCTTTGGTAAAAATCAGTACATCAGAATCATTTTGATGATCCTGAAAAGGTAGGAAGGATCCTCTTTGGTTTTCCTACATTGTCAGCATATCACACATATGCACACACTCTGACTCAAACAATTTGTATTGAGTCACTTTGAGATATGGATGTGCTTCACCCCACCTTCTCCCTCTATAATCTGTAGATTGACTTGACTAAGGGGTAATTTGTTGTTTGTAGGCGGGTGAGTGGGAGTGAGGGATAGTGACCAGACAGGTGGGGGAGGAGTGTGATTAACATGCAGGAGGGGCCTTGTCCTCAATTACTAATGCAGAAAGACTGGAGACATACAGACAAAGTAGCAGCACACATGCATGCGCGCACACACACACACACACACACACACATACACACACACTAAGTCTAATGTGTTATACTATAGCTTAAAAAATTCAATGAAAAGTATTTTGTTAGCACCTTGCTAGCAGCAGATGCTGAATATTGAGGTGCGAGATGTGCAGAGCAGAGAAGTTTTTGTTGCGTTTTAGTCTCAGATGCTCTGCTCACACATTTACAAAAACCATCTGATATAAATTGCACACTAAAACAGACAGGACTAATAAAGCTAATTACAACATGTGGCTAAAATAATTATTCAAAGGTCAATCATTAATCAAAATTATTATCTTCCACTATAAAGTTTCTAATCAAGTTCAGCAGTACTCATTTTCATGTGTAGTTGCACTACACTTTGTGTAGACCATTATGTCTGTGTATGATCATCCGTGTACCACGGATTTTGTAATTTATTTGGAAGTGTTTAAAAATATATACACAACCATACATTACTAACGTGATTAAAAGGCTTAGGGCTGGGCGATAAAACGATAAGGATAAGTATCGCGATATAACTTTTCCTCGATAGAGCGATAAGACAGGTTCGATAAATGTTCGATAAAATACACCATTCTCACACTTCCACGTTTTAGCGAAAGCCCTGGTGGCGTTTTCTACTGCAAGGAAAGCGACACTACTCTGCTTTCACCAGGAGAGGGCGCACTTCCGAATTTTTCGACTTGATTAGAGAGGGAGGGGGCCAGGAGTAAAAGGGTCGCCAAATATACTTTAGCAACGGCTGAAACGCGGAGTTATACAGTCCCTGTTTGAGTGGAGCGACCGGCGATCTGTTCTCCTGTGACCGAGTGTGAGTGACAAGGTCAGTGGTGTAACTGTACTGTCCTGCGGTGAACTCACCTTTTTCTGTGCCTCCTAACAACTTTAGCGGTGTTAAATCATGCCGTGTTACAGCGCCAAACCGTCATATTTTAGTATTAGTGCATTCTCGAGCAACGAAAGTGAAAGAAAGAAGTGGGTTAATGTTCGAAAGTAAACTGAGGAAGCTGTGAGGCATTGGGAAGCGGGAGAGCGCTATCTTTCCAGGCTAGCTGTTTTTAGCTGCTGGCTAATTACAGCAGCGCTCCGGCACAACACGGTGAATTGATGATACGGTAGATCAAACAAGACACAAAATCACCGCTTTCAGTTTAAACATACCTAAAAGGATTCACACTGCAGATAATGCTTTTACACAGCGAACGTCAGATATACTGCGGTTCACCCCTTAAACTACTACAAAAGCATAGAGAAACCCAGTCGTCGCTAAACTAAAGAGTTTAGCACTGTTGTTGGCCACTTGTTTAGCATTTGTAACGGGGTAGCCAAGTGCTCGTCACCAGACAGCTAAAAATAATCTGTTTTCTTTCTTAAATCATGACTATTACAAAAATTGCAGCTGTGCTTTTCCAGCTGATAAAAACAGCTCAGAAACTTTCTCCCACTCTTCCATGACAGATCTGTGAAATGTTCCTCTGTTTGCCGAGTGTTTGTCAAGATCCGACCATAAGTGATAGTTTAAAACCACAATTAACGACCCAGGAGCAAAATCAGCCTTCAAACGTGAAAGAAATCATGATTTGACATTTATCGCGATATGTATCGATATCGAACGATATGAATTTTGTTTATCATGATAACGTTTTTGGCCATATCGCCCAGCTCTAGGCTATGTTACCATTATCATTAGTTTTTGGTGTTCAGTAAAATGCCATTAAATTTGCTGAAAAATGCACACTGACTTGTTTAGGATGTTGGACTTGACTTGTCTATACTGACTTGGGACTCAAATCGAAACTTGACTGTACTGACTTGGGGGAAATCTCTACAGGTGGTGTAACTTCACCAGAAAAGTCATTCAAGAGCGATAAAGCTGACCGTCTAGCTCTATTCCTGAGGTGTGACTGAGCTTAGCTTCGATAAAATCTTGAAGAATAGCCATATAAAACAATTAATTTACAGGGCAACCAAGAGGGCACTTGCACAGTCTGAGAGGAAAAAGGATAAGGGATCAAGACCCCCTTATGGTCCATCTGTGCATGCACCTGACTAGTTAAATAGTCTATGCAACCCCTAACACACACACGCACACACACTCTCAGCTGTATCAAGTATTCTCAGAGATAGCAGATTCTTGTGATTCACGCCAGTGACGCAACACGCATATGAGAAAGAGTGAGAAGCACTACAACACACAGATCCTACATCAAACACATGCATATGCGCACACGCGTGAACACTCACAGAGGAAGAGCCTCATGCACGCCAACGTCAAATCTCTCTCAAGGGGAATGCACAAAAAGGGAAATAAATAATGAATAACAGTTGAAATGAGCTGGTGAATGTTTCATGAATCTAGGACATCATCTCTCAGTCAAGGTTGCTCTCTTTCTTCCTTTTTTTTTCCTCAAGCAGCGTGACAGGCAGAGGGAACAGTATGTGCATTAGAAAGAAAGAGAGATGTTCTGCAGATCTATCACAGAGACTAATTACACAGCACACAATCACTGCTGGCGGCTCAAACAATAAGGCTGATCGCAGAACAGGAGAGCACCAAGGCCAAAGGGGTCAACTTTTGACCTTAGACAGAGCTATCCTACTTTAAAAAGCTTTTACTGAGCTTGGATTAAGATGATCCATTAAGTCACCAGACCTACCCGCTAGTTTCCACAGCAGTCATGAGGTTCTGTGCACACAGGCACAGACGGAAAAGATCTCAGCGACGGCACCCTGGTGCCTGGCTATCGTGTTTTGTCTCATGGTTGTTATATGACTCAGTGGAAGAGAATAGCAAACTAACTTGAAACAATCTCTCACTGGACTTAAGGCGGGAGGACTGATTCCAATGTAGTTGTGCATGGTGTCCAGGTGATGCCAGCTCAAAATAGCAGGCCACCATTCCCTAGGCGGTGACCTCAGAAACATTCAGATGATTTGAGACTTACGTTGTTGTGTGAGACAGGGTGTAAACTGCAGGGAGAGTCTAGAGGCGGCGGAGGGGATTTCCCCACAGGAACATCTGGATGGCTAATGGCATGTGTATTTGACTAATGCCAACATGTTTGTAAGAATATCAGTTAATAAGTAGTTCAGTTAACTGTAGGGAAGGAAACAAAAAGGACTTTGGCCATTATTAGTGCATCATAAAAAATATCTGTCCCATTACCTTGCTGCAGGCCAAATGTGGTTCTTACACAGTGCACAAACATAACAAAAGTCAAAGAACATTAAACAGGACGGCTTACTTTTATTAGGTGGTAGCATTGGTGCTAGCAGGCCTCAGCAGCAACGTTTATCAACACACAGACAAGTACATTTGAAAAGAAAGTAAGTGTTTTAATATTCAAAAATAGGCAAAGGGAAAACGTTTTGCCCCTGCAGGTTAAACCCGTAGGTTGAGGAGGAGGCTGAAGTGATTGAGACTGCCCCTTCAGATGAGCCATCTAACTAACATTAAAGCTAACCAGTGCAACATTAGATGGTGAAGTGGACTTGTTTTTTCTCTTCAGGATGATGTGCAGACATGTTAGTTTGTTCATTTAACTTTGCTGGGGCTACAGTCACACTACCTTCTTAAGGAAATTAACATACATACTTCATCCCAACCATGAGTACACGTCACACTATTCAGCCCTATTAAAACATAAAATCAGTGTTGCACCGAATTGTTGGTCTGAATACCCCTTCCGCCCCAACTTGCCAGGATGAATAATAAATACCCAAAAAATGATTTCAGTATTGGCATACTAGTGCTCATGCACACCCCTAATCACTATACCAATCACACAACCCTCTGTATCAGTGGAACCACACTGAACTCATGGATCTGCCCCAGCGAGTGAATAGAGTGTGTTTGCATACAAGTATGCACTTGTATTTTTCATGTTCACATTCTAATAGACAACTTGTGTTTGCATGAGACAAAAATTTGATAGTAACCAAACGCAGTCTGTCATGGGACACTGAGAAACATAGCTCAGAGGCCCACCAGCTCCCACTCACCTTGAACACGTATCCTAATATCGCGGCTGCGTAGGCCGATGTCATTGCCCACTTCACACCTATAGACCCCAGAATCGTTCCTCTGCAGTGGCCTCAAGAAGATCAGAGAGTTGTTCACTGTCTCCACTCCATCTGGCATATCCCCATCCAGCCTGAACACACACACACAATAACAAACGGGTGACAAGGCAGACAGGTTAATCTTATATGTTTGGCAATAATGAGGAAATTTCATTATAGCTTATATGTACAGATAGTCTGTTTATGTTTGTATAGGTGAGCTCAAGGTTTCTACACTCACTTAAGAGCATTACAGTGGATTGTTCTTTAAAGATGGTAGGCTCCACAAGGAACCATTTTTGGTTCCACAACAAACTCATCTTAAAAAGGTTCTCAAAAAGATGTTTAAAGAAAAATTTAATTTTGCCATCACTGAAGCAAACCTATAGCTCTGCATTATTTAATCTTTGTGTGATCAAAAAAACCTTTTCCAAGTGTAAAGATACTCTTTTCTATCATAAATGAACCTTCCACATAATGTAAAGGTTCTATAACAAAGTTTTTCTAGGAAAAACTTTTTTTTTTCCCAATCCAAGAACTATTTACGAACTTTTATTTTTAGGAGTACAAGCTACAGCCAATATACTGGAATAATGAGAGGCATTTTGATTGTTATGACTGCTAAGGACTGATGAGCGGCTTGTGTAATGAGAAGGAAAAAGTCTATTTAAGTGGAGATCAGACAGTTATAGAGGGAGTGATTAGTGGTGTGTGTTCAGCCTCAGGTAGAGCGAGCATCTGCAGTCACAGTAGGCGAACTGGAAGCATGCCTGACCAGCGCTGTTCAGCTGAACCTGTTCCAGAAACCTTAAACGATGAGCACAGCAGTGAGTGTATCATTGCTCTCTGTGTGTACACACCTGATCCATCTGAAGTGGTGAGCTGGTGGGTTGGCCTTGGCTCGACACTTCAGCTGGACATTCTCTCTCCCTACATACCAGTCACCATCATAGCCCAGCACCAGGATGTCTGGAGCAACTGTGGACACACAGCACAAAGAGTTCATTCAATTCAGGTACAGGAAGGCAAGACAGCCACACCTAGTCAAACTGATGAGAGTTTTAAAGCAACCACGAGACAAAAAAATCCTGAAATGTGAAATTCATCAAGAACACAACATTTGAAGGTTTCACCAAGTACAACCAAAGCACCTGGAGATCACCATATGCATATTTTACTGCACTAACAGCATTAGTGAGAGAAAGGAGACAGCAAGTGAGTGAGCAAGAGTGAGAGTGAGAGTGAAAGAAAAGAATAAGGAAAACAACTGAGAGGGAGAGAGAAATAGACAGGGAGAGACAAAATAGAGAAATAGAGAAAGAAAGACAGAGAAAGAGAAAGTGAGACTGAGCAACTGAGAAGATGAGAGAAATAAAGTGAGACAGTGAAACAGAAAGAGAGAAAAGTGCTAGAGAGAATGAAAGCTAGAGAGAACGAGTGATAGAGAGAGAAACCAAAAGAGCATGCAAGAAAGAGAAAAAGAAAAAAAAATAATATATATATACACATGAGACACACAGAGCAAGCAGCAGAGAAAAAGTCTGAGAGAGAGAGAGAGAGAGAGAGAGAGAGAGAAAGAGAGAGAGAGACTGAAATTTGAGAAACAGAAAAGGAGTGAGCGACAGGAAAAGAGAGGCAGAAAGAGATAAAGAACAAGTGAGAAACAGTCAGACAGACAGACAGACAGAGAGAGCAAAATAGTGCGCGAGAGGTAGACCCTGCGTGACTGACTCGTGCTCTCCTCACACTGCCTGCTTCCTGTGCGTTCCATCTATATTTCATACAGTTCTAACATACACACCGCTACCACAGACCCCACCATACACACATATCTTACACTCTACCTCCTGCTTTATAATAAGGGACTGTGTGTGTGAGATGGAACGGAAGGAAGACCAGTGAGATCAAACTTTCATTTTATATCTGAATAATCTCTCTGCACTGAGGACTGAACATAAACAGAAACAAAACTTTGGGAAATCCATGGGAATGGCTGAGAGAGAGTTCCCTGAAGACAAGCTGATTCTTTATTAAAAGCATACTACACACTGATCAACAGCAGCATCATGTCATGACGATGACAGTTACCACACTGCAGTAATATGAAAAACAGATGTGCTGAAAGAATAAAAGCACACACATCTCAGACCGCAAGAAGAACCTCAGATGAAAGAGGAGCAGTTTGCACTGTGCAGTTTGAAATGAAAGTGTTGAGTCATCATCAAACTTTAGAAAATGTTTATATACTGGCACATGCACAAACACAGGGATTGAAAGAGTCTCGTTTGCTGTTACTATCAGTGATCGACACTAGGCATCTGGGTGCATCCTATAAGGGGTAAAGTGAGTGGGGCTTATGTTGTGGACACACCCACACTCAAATGAGTCTTTCTCTGAAGTCAGTTTATTCCTGGGGTTGTGAATTTTGGACTTTTACAATTTATTACCATACAAATAATAGCAATTAACATTTTAACTGGCTCTTTTTAGTAATTAAATGCAGCTATTAAAGTATAAGCCTGAACTAGCTATATTGCTTCCTAGCTGTCGATACTTAGTAGCTCCTAATTGACAAAACCCACAATACTGACTACTGTCTTCTGAAGGTGTTAAGTCAGAAGTTCAAACTTTTGTTGATGAAAACAAACATACATTCTGACACATTCACATTCTGTTCGTTGCAACATGTGCTTGCAAAAATGAACTGTGGAAAATAATTCTGATCCGCTCAAATAAATGTGATATGGTGATTATGCAATAATTGTGACGTGTCTAACACATGCACATCCACAAAAACACACACACACACACACGCACACACATTCTCTCAGCCACAAACTAACATAAACACACCCTCATGCACACACACTCTTGTGTGTACATTCAAAGAAAGACCCACTTACACTGGACATTGATGATGTAGGGTATTCTGAAGTCGCTCTGCAGTGCAGGGTGTCTGACTACACAGGTGAGCGTGTGTCCTTGGGCGTGGCGGGTGGGCTGCCAGTTGTAGTGCACCTGAGTGGTGGTGGTGCCATTAGCGTCGTCAGCCATGTGGGCCTCAGACGTGCCGTACAGATCCGTCTCCCAAGAAACATCGGCTGGGGGTCGGGCGCGCTCAGCGATGCAGGTTGCAACTGTGGTGTCATTACCACCGTCCATCAGAGCTGAGGAACCGGCCGATACATACACCTTCGGCTCCACTGAGAAAGTGATTGAGGGAGAGAAAGGGACAGTTAGGGAGACTTTATTGATACTAAAGTAGATCAATATCAGATATAAATATAGTCGCAACAAAACTATTTGTGAACCCTAAGGAACTGTCTAGACATCTATATTCAACTGTTCTTAAATTAGTCTTGATTGTAATACACTAAATGTCTTTCAACTCAACACACAATGTTACATATCTTTCCTGAATAAATGGTTTAAACCATTAAGGTCACTGATAGAAAAAGTATGTGAACTGCCAGGATTATGAGCTCTTCAACAGAGGTAACTGGAGTCAGATGTTCCACTTCAATTCAAGTGTGGGGTTGCTCTGCCTACTAGTAAAAAAAGAAAAAAACATTACCAGCTCTCCTACTTTTTATAATGGAAATTATATTTAAGTGCAATCAAGTGTGATTTCAGACAACTACAGAAAGTATCCTGAAGCTCTTAAGACTTGAAAAAACTGGAAGAGAGTCAATTAAAGAAGCTTTGGGCATCAGTCCAGAAGCCAAATAGTTTACATACAGAAGAAATGCAGCATAATTGCTACTTTCTCTGTTTATGGGAGGTTAACTCCAGATGAAGAGGTTACTCTAAAGGGAAATATTTTCTCATTTCTCATTTCTTTTTTTTATACAGGTAAAACTGTGACTGTGAAGTAGACAAATTCAAAAATTATATATATTATAACATTCAAAAATATTGAAGCAGTTTAAGTAACACTCAAAACTCCATCTTGTGGATAAAGACAGAAATGCATTTTGGCAATTGAATGGTCTCACAAGTAAACAATAAATCAATAAAATACTGACACTTCACAGTATTGGTGTATTAATACTATTTTTAAACCCCAAATATCACAATATTATATTGCATCAATACCTCCTCCATCCCTACCATATCAATACCAAAACCTCATCTCATCTGTGAAGCATGGAGGAGGGAGTATATTGTGTTAGGCTGCTTTACGGCCTCAGGGCCTGGATGAATTGCAATTATGGAGGGACCAGTAATGTCTGCCATATAACTTGGTGGGTCGTGCAACAATAATGGTCCAAAATACTGGAGCAAATCAACAACAAAGTGGTAGAGTCTTGACCCCAATTACAATGAAATGTTGTGGCATGATGTGAGGCCACTCAAGCAACGAATCAGCAGCTACAGAACATTTTTAGTCGATGTTATTACCATTATAAGAAAGTCCCATGCATTACTAAATACGAATGTTCACACACTTTTTGCTCCCATTAATGACAGTAAATGTGTAAACATTAGTTTGGATATGATGCTGTAAAAACATGTGTGTGCTTTAAATAAGACACTTTATTCGGTTCACAAACCCTTTCTTATGACTGTATACTGCACCACACCTAAACTGATCACACAAAAAGAGGGGACATGTTCCCCATGGAAAAGCAGAACAAAGAGTGGAGAGATGATTAACTGAACAAGAGAAGACATCTCAGTCCAGCACAAATAAAGAAATTATCCCAGTCCTATGAATCACTCTCATGCACTGCCAATAGTGAACTGATAAGCAGGAATGAGAAAAATAAAGGTTCTTTGAGAGGAGGGAAAAAAAACAAAAGGCATCAGCTTGAAAAACAGTCATGGTCACTACCAGCTGCAAGCAAGCTCCGTTTCTCATCAGTCTCACTGAACGCTTTTCCAGAGGAGCTGAAATGATCTGTTCGAATGGCTCGTCCAGTGGAAAGGGCAGTGTGCATCAGAGCTGCATGATATGGACAAAACACCATACTGCAAATGATACTGCTGCACATTGTGAGTGCAACAGATCTCGCAATATATTAAAAACATTGATTTAAAATGGTTAAACATTGGCCTGCATTATTTTGACCAAAACTATGCACAATTGCAGGACCTTGATTTAGGGCTGTACAATATAGATGAAATACTAGTATCGTGAACATACTGCTACACACTGTGACTGTAATACGCCATGCATTAAATTAAAAACACAATGATGAAATAAATTGACTTGGTTCAAGACTGGCTAGTATTTTTTTGTCTGGAACCGTGATTTTTGGCATAAATTTAAAACGCCTGTTGCTCTTTACATTGTGTGTAAATTTCATGAAGAATAGACCAAAAAAATAGCCCAAAATGACTTGGAAAAAAGTCTGGTTCCATTGACTTTAAAATTTACTTTACATTAAAAGTAAAGTAGGTTTTTTCCTTTTCCTGTGAAGTTGTCATTTTGCAGATACAAGTTTTTTTTTCCAACAACAGCAATATTTAAAAAAGGTTATGAACTGGTGATTGGTTAGAGGGCTTATTTGCACATTGCAGCCCTCTGCAATGTCAGTACTGCAAACTATCATGATAATGATTAATAAGTGATATATTGTGCAGCCCTTCCTTGATTCATTAGAACACCCATAACATTCATCTTGAATGCTCACAGCACACAATAACAGCGATTTTGTTAAAGCTCACACAACCGCCGACATCTGGTGTTGACGTTGCTCAAGGACTTTCAGCACTGCTTAATTTCCCTACACACCGCAGCATGACACTCAGCATTTTACTATTACTGTATAAACCTAGAACCAGACAAAAATCGAAAGTAGATGATGTGGCTTGAAAGTTACACCAAGAAAAGAAGTCAAGCTAAAACCTTAAAGATAAACAGTGCTATTTTTTTGTACCTCAGCTAACCCTAGTCAGCCTAACCCAGCTTAGCCTTGTCATTTTCATCCTTTATATTTAGCTAGAAAACAGCAACTTACTGAATGGTTAATTAACTGATACCAAGCAGGACAAGCTCACAAAATTATGTTGAAACTTTTATTCCATTAAAAACTGTGTAAAATGAACTTGAGCTTGATGTTCATTATCTCCTTCAAAATAAGTGTTCCTGTGATATATATCTGCTAGGGGATGCTACATGATGCTGCATGGCACTTCACAGCTACACGGCACGTGTTTTGGCCTTTCTGTGATATCAGTAAAGCAAAGACCAATACTGTGATCAACAAAGGAAATATTCTACAGTTGTAGTGTGCATCAGCTTGGTCTGGGGAACGCAGGGGAGTACAATGAATCTTACAGTGTTCAGGCTGACCTGCACGTCAGGATGGTGGGGCACACTCCCTTCCTACTTCCACACGAACTACAGTCCACCTTCACTCCTTCACTCAGCATCGTTTCTCTTTTTCCATCCACCACCCCCCTCCCCCCACCTCTACCTCTCATGGAATCTTTCCATTCCCGTCTGACCTTGTAGCTGAGCTCTTCTCGTTACCGTTCTAGACCCACTGAATGTGTATGTGCATGTGACATGTCATACATACTTGTGACTGTACATGTGTACTGTAGATGGGTTCTATGTACAGGGTATGAGTGTGCACATTTGGCATAGTTTGACCAAGTATGCTAATGTGGCTAGTTATGAACACAAGCTAGTTAGCACCAGTAAGCATTGCGTCATTACTGGAGGCTTATATATTGGCAATCTTTTAAAATACATGCAAAAGTTTAACTGTGCCGTTTTTTAAATATTTAAAGATATATCAAAATATTTGTCAAGATAATGAAAAACAAGCACATATGTAGATGTAAGAATATCAATTTTTACATTTACAATGCCTTCTGCCCAATGACAGCTGAGATAGGCTCCAGCTCCCACCCAGAAAAAGAAGCGGTTTAGATGGTGTGGGTGTGTGTGTGTGTGTGTGTGTGTGTGTACACATTTACAATTTACATATGACATGTGTCTGAAAATATATTACAAATTTGGCACACTTTGAAAATTCTATGGAAAGATATTTCCTTTACATATGGGGGAAAACTCTTAAATCTTTTTGGATTATTGTTATGCTCAGAAAATGACTAAATTGGTATAGGAGCATCCCTAACTCTCAACACTCATTAGACAAGATTTATAAATATGCACATTATGCAAACTGCTTTGCCATCTAGTTCCAAACCCCACACCTCTTACCCCCACTGTCTCCATTACATAAACTACTGAGATTTTCATCACCCAATAAATGTAAAACCATAAACTAAACAAATACTAAGTTTTGAACAGTGCAAAACAGAGCACAGTGGAGCTGAAATCAAACGTGTTGTGACGAGTGAAGATATTTTAGACTGCTTGCTAAGCTAGCACTAGACTCTAGTGCTAATGAGGGAAGTACAGGGAGATTCACTCGAAAGAGCCCCCGAATATTCTGTAATAACTCTCGTAAGAATGAAGCAATCTGAACGAAACAACGTGCAATGCGCTCCTCAGTATACGGAGCTTCGAACAAGCTGGGATGCCCCTGCGTCGGAGTGATGAGGTAGGCGCCGGACAGCCGTCGAGACGTTCAGACTCCGTTTGCAACTTCCGGGTGCTTACCCCTGTACCCGTTCGTGTGTCTGGCAGAAAATGGAGATCACTTCCAGCATCACATATAATGCAATCGATTACACATACGTCAAGGTATGTAGCATATTTTTTGGTTCAGATTGCTTCATCCCAATGGGAGTTACAACAGAATATTCAGGGCCTCTTTCGAGTAAACCTTCCTATATAAATGTTAGCTTAACTACAGGCTCCAGATATAAAATCACAGTTTCGTCCCATGAGATTTATGTTTTTGGTCTCTAAATTTGTAAAAAGCATCAGTGAGCTGAAATTAAACCTGTTGTAGTTTAAAGCTGTTTTAGTCTGTTCGCTAGCCTCTATGTTGTCCTTGTTAGTGACAGAGGAGTAAAGCTTCAGGCAGCTCCACACACACACACACACACACACACACACAAACACACACACACACACACACACACACACACACACACACAACATAGGTTCATTGCCTTAGACTTGTGACTTTATCCTGTAAACTTATGTTAAACCTGTACTGTGGTATGTGCAGCTGCAGCATGCTAAGCTACTGCTACCCTCTACTTTGACAGCTCTACGTACCATATTTGACTGCTTAGTACATTAAATGTGCAACATAAATTTGACATTGTTGTCATTTTAAAAACTACCATTTAACTCTTTTAGGTATCTGCTTACTAAACAGTCCAAACCTTTCAAACAAGTTAGCCACATTAGCATAGTCATTTTTTAGTAGCTATAAGTTTCCTGGCAGCATGTCGTATTTGGTATGTAGTATCTAGGCCTAGTGCTCAACAAATTGTCTTTTTTTCCCCCGGAGGTTTTAAAAAGCCCATGTTTTTAATGAAAATTGTGAACTCTGCACTATGATAATAAATTCAACATAAACTGTTTTATGTACAAATTTACAGTCGAATAAGCCATCCAAGAAGAGTTAACCATTTAAAAACGTTTTAAGTGGAGGGTCTTAGCTTTAAATTACAATATGGCTAACAATGAATGCAAGTTAACAGTCGTTAGTTAGCATGATGTCATCTTAGCAACTTTAGCGCTTAACTAATCTATCCTTTATACCCGTCATTCATGCTTATGACCGTACTGTCTGTAGGCCCTGCATATTTGTGTGTGTGTGTGGGTGTGCGTGCGTGTGTGGGTGTGTACACCTGGTACATCTAGTGTACAACTACACAAGGAAGAGCTTGGCTAACATGGCTAAGTATGAATCAAAGTTAGTCTGCTCCAGTTAGCACGATGTCATTTCCATAATGCTAACAGGTAGCTATTCGCTTTCACTGCTAGCAACATACAGTAACTGTGTCTAACATATGTATGCACTATGTATAAGTACATGGACATTTGTCAAGTGTGACACGTCTTAGTACTTTAAATGAATAGCATGTACCAAATACACTAAAGTTACTAACTATAAATACAAGCTAGTAGTCACTAGATGATGCGATGCACTTACCATAATGCTAAATGATTAGCTATAGCTATTCAAATAATCTGCTCTTTGGATTATCATATCAAGAGATCGTATGTGACAAAAATTAAGAAAATGCATTTAGACCCCAGACAGTTGAGCACATCACACAAGCTTCTATAGATATATACTGTAGACCCTATGTATGAGTGTGTATATGCTCATTTGCCATCAGGAACAGCTTGACCAAATGACAGCATGGCTAACAATAAATACAAGCTAGTAGCCACCAGTTAGCATGATGTCATTTCCATTATGCTAATTGGTAGTTATCTATTTCATTCACTGGTAACACCATTGGCATTCTTGCCCAAACAACTTCTTTAAGTAACTCTTTATGACCCTTACACCAACATCCTTGACCCAAAGTCACAGAAGAACCCTAAAAATAGAGGGGCATCTTTTCCTCTCTTATACCCCTGTACCTACAACACTTGCACACTAAGCCTCTACATTCCTCCTGCTCTAATTATAGCTCTTGTGCGGGCCCCCCCTCCCTCATTCTCTCTTCGCTCACTTCTGTTCTCTCCTGCATCACTCCCTTCTTGCTTTCTCTGTTCTCTTTTCTTTTATTATATCATTTTTTGTTACGCCCATCCATCTCCATCACGCACTCTCTCATTTAGGTTCAGCTTTGGTGCCTCAGTCGCTTAATCATTTCTAGTGATTCATCTCTGGCTTGTCTTTCTTACTTCTCTGAGCTTTGCTTTCCCTTCTTTTCTCGTCTTTATTGCTCACGCGCTCTTTTCTAGCCCACCGAGGGCAGAATGGCTCTCTCTCACGCACACGCCTCCACAACATTATAATGCATTATTAATCAAGTTAACTCAAGGCACTCTCTTTCTTTCTCCCTCACACATATAACACACGCACTCGCGGAGCTCCATTCAGCTCTCTGTGCATTTCTGTGAGCAGCTCCAGCTGAGCAGATGGGCTGCAGGAGAGAGGCTGACGTCATATCATTCTGAGGAAGCGCTCGCCCATCTCCCCAAACACCGCTCCCAACCCTGCCCTGCAGTCACTTGCTCTCCTACTGACGCGCACACACACACACACACGCACACACACACACACACACAGCAGCAGTGCTCCGAATGCAAGCTGTGATACGAATGCACACGCCAACATCCTATTTTCCGTTTACAGTGGATACACACGCAAAAACTTTGTCACGGCACTTTAGCCCTAATATGTGCAAGTCACGGTCTGACAGCCGGACCACATTATCGTTTTTCATGCGGACTAACGAGACAGAGTCTTGCACACGCTGAAGGAGCGAAGGGATTACCTCCAGACTAGTCTCAGAAGCACAGATCTTCACAGACTGTCTGATGCTATTGTATGTGTTTTGATGGATGCAAACTTTCAAACTGAATTTCTGAGTTTACCACAAGGAAGTTGCACTTACAACTGTTAAACTTCCATGCTTTTTTCCCTACGTGTTTTTATGAAAGCTTTCTCCCCAATTTAGTTTTGGCTAATTCCACCCGGTAGCTAGGTCCTTCCCATCAGAGGATGCTACCAAGCTGAGAGGGTGAAGATTAGTAAGTGGTTCCTCTGAATCATAGGAAGCACCACCAAATCTATTCAAACTACCAGCATGGAGTCTAATCATACATCCCCATCCTGAACTAACTTCTCTATACAATTCAGAGCAATCAATCTACAACTCTGGGAGGAACCTCAAAAGGAAAAGGTCTTTATGTGAACTTAAATATATGCATAAATAAATTCACATGATAATATACATCATTGGACAGCTCAACATGCATAGAGAACAACACTACCTGCCAATTCTGTTACATCAACTAAGACACCTGCACTGGCTAGCATCATGTTGAGTGAAGAGAGGGGGAGGGCCACTCAGAGAGAATGCGGCCAATTATGCTCTGGCATGGCTGTGGCATCGCAGGGGATTGAACCCACAATCTCCCGACAACAGGGCCAATGCTTAGACAGTTGTGCCAGTCAGCCACTACGCTTCCTTATTTAACCAATTTCACGAGTTATGACAGGAACGTTTTGATTTTAAATACTCCATTTTCAAAAAAAGTTGTGACTCTGTGCAAAATGTAAATAAAAACAGAATGCAATGATGTGCAAATCATTTAAATCCTATATTTAATTGAGAACAGTTCACAGGCAACATAAATGTTGAAACAGAATCTAAATATATGCCCATTTTGAATTTGATGTCAGCAACATGTTTAAAAAAAGTTGGGACAGGGGAACGTTTACCACTGCACTGCATCACCTCTTCTTCTAACAACACTCTGCAAGAGTTTGGGAACTGAGAACACACACTGCTATAGTTTTGAAAGTGAAATATTTTCCAATTCTCGCTGAGGTAAGATTTCAGCTGCTCAAGAGTTCAGAGTCTCTTCTGTCATATTTCAAAATGCACAGTCAGTGTTCACAGACAGTGGTTTTCGGAAGTGTTCCTGAGCCCTTGCACTGATTTCCACTACAGAATTGTGTCTGTTTCTAATGCAGTGCCGCCTGAGGGCCCGAAGATCTCAGCCATCCAGTACTGGTTTTCAGCCTTGTCCCTTACATACAGAGATTTCTCCGGACTCCCTGAATCTTTCAATGATATTATATACTTTAGATGAAGAAATCCTCAAGTTCTTTGCTATTTTATGTTGAGAAACTTTATTCTTGAATTGTTGCACTATTAGTCCATGCAGTCTTTCACAGAGTGGTGAACCCCTCCCCACCTTTACTTCTGAAAGACTCAGCTTTTTATACTAACTCAATCCTGTTACTGTCCTGTTGCCAATTAATCTAACTAGTTGTGAGATATTCCACCAGGTGTTTTTTTTTTTAGTGTTACACAACTTTACCAGCCTTTTGTTGCCCCTGTCCCAACTTTTTTGAAACATGTTGCCAGCATCAAACTCAAAATATGCATATATTTTTCAAAAAACAATAAAATTACTCAGTTTCAACATTTGATACGATGTCTTTGTATTATTGTCACTTAAATAAAGGGTTTAAATGATTTGGATATCATTGCATTGTTTTTATTTAAATAAATGATAGAAAAGTTGAATTATCTTAACATGTGTAAATGACTAACACTTAGCCATTACATAAATGTTAAATAAAAATGCACTGAACACTGGTGCATTCTAGTGGATATATGTATAGTTCATGCGATAAAATTTACCAGTTGCCAATGACCAACCAAACGCAAAGTGGTAGTCACAACTTGCGCCCTCCTTGGCTAACTGCACTTCTGTGGGTATGCATGTCCGTGCAATGATTTTTATCAAATTTTAACAGGAAACAAATTTTGGTTTATCAAGCTAAATGCTACTTAGTCAGCAGTAACAAGCAGGTTGCCTGCTTTGCTCACTGTGATAACACCAAGCATTCTCTAGTAAGGCATAGCCAGTAGATTTAAAAAACAGATGTTTGTAAAAGTTTGCAGCACCCAGTTTTGTTTAAAGCAGTTAGAAGGCTGCAGGTGCTACTGTATTTCACGCAGGCCCGCTGTCCTACACATCACGTTAAAACAGCAGTTTGTGATTGGTCATGTTGGTCAAGTGGTCCATAAACACTTCCCACAAAAGCCATGTTGAGTGCTGAAACCCAACAGACCCTCCGGCAACAGCTAGACAGACAGAAATACACACTTACCAAGTACGCTGACAGTGGTGGAGGCCTGCGTGTTGCCCAAGGGAAATGTGGCCACCTTGCAGGTGTATACACCGATGTCGGCAAAGCCCACGTCCTCCAGAACGATGGTGGCATCGTGGGCGGAAGGTGAGCGGAAGGACAGGCGCCGCTCGTACTCAGGCGGGATGGAGATGCCAAACATGGGGTTATAAACAGCCAGAGTGACTGAACCAGTGGGCAGCCTCCTCTCCCATGAGCTCTGAGTCAGACTCAGGTTAGAGTCCACTTGGATCCTGCAGCCTAGAGTTACATTCTTCCCCAACACGGCACTGACCTTCGGAGGGACCACCACCTGACTGCCCCACACACCTGAGAGAGAGAGAGAGAGAGAGAGAGAGAGAGAGAGAGAGAGAGAGAGAGAGAGAGAGAGAGAGAGCGCGCAAGTAAGACATGAATCAGCACACCTCATCATGAAGGTCACATGTTAGTTTGCATTGAAACCCCTGAATTTGCACACCGTCCCAGCTGACAAATCCTGCTTTATCCCATTAAAGCTGTGATCAATTGGACGTCAGGTCTGTCAGCAGTGCTTCTAATTCCTCTCTAGAAAAGTCCATTCTGCTTAGCCTACATATCAGGAGAAAAGAGGCTTTTTTGTTACACAGGAAAGCACACCAGCCGGTGGTTGCAATTTGTTGAGTGGTAAAAAGCAGAAAATAAAGCCAGAGTCACAGGGGCCTCATAAAGAGCTCGAGAGGAGCCTAAAATTAGTGCTCACCTAAAACTCAGAAAAAGGCAGAAAAACCCTCATGCAAGGCTTTTTTAAAATAGCGGTCTGAAGACACGGCAGGAACAATATGGTAACAGTAGGCAAATGTGTCAAAGAATGCAAAGAGGGCAAAAATGATTAGGATGCACGCCAAGTATTGGCTGCACAACGGGTGTGCTGTCTTGGAGGCTCATGGGGCACCATAGTTAGAAAAAAAATTAACAAGGGAATTTACCACAAACCTTTCCCTGTTCAGCCCATCCCTCCTTTCCTCTCTCTCTCCATCTTTTTAACCACTCGCTTCCTCTCCATCTGCTACCTTCCAGCACTCATTCCCTCTCCATCACTTTTTCCTCTTTCCATTCGTTGAACAAAAGCCTAATTATGTCTGTGAGAGGGTGTGCGTGAAGGAGAAAAAAAAAAAAAAACAAGAGCACGCGAGAAAGAATGAAAAAAGTAGCAAGACAAGACAGAAAGGAGAGAAGGAAAGACAAAAGCTGCAACATGCCAAGCAGACAACAGGGGCCATGCGAGGACAGTCTGTGTGTCTTGTTATGCTCAGGCAGCTGTGCTCACGCCAGCCAAACCGTCCATACACACACACACGCAATACCTCTCGCACACACATGCACACGTTCTGCGTCACGCACAGACATTCTCTTTATGTGGTGGCGAGGGGGGGGATGAATAGTCTCTGTGGGGAGATGGATGGAATTTGAAGCCGTGTTTAAATCTGCAAGGCATTTTCACATCTTTTATGGATCAGGCATTTAAAGGAGGTTCCAGTCAAACACAAACATACTTATATGCTGTCTGAAGAGCTGGGTAGTCCATGCTCTTGCTCCTCTAGGCCTTCAATAACAAAACCTTCTAACCTGCATTTTGGATCTACTGTTGGCATTCATTAGTATAGGCCAATTAGCGACACCAGTCACAAACCATTTAGACTTAATGTGTTGTTCTTCATCATCAGAGCTGGATATGATCACTGTACTCTTACCCTGTGTACACACCGTCAGCATTAAAAACGTTCAGCATTGCTTGGGCAGCCTTCGACTGGTTGCTGCTGGACATTTCGAATGAGAGCAGGCAGGCAGCAAGTTCAACTGGATTGCATGGTCATGCAAACTACATTGTTCAAAAGCATGGGGGCCAGTATTACCCAGTGCTTAGCCAACATCAGTTATATTTATTAACTATAACAGTGCATGAGACAAAAATATTTGAGTTCGGATATCAAAATTAAAATAAATGATTTCACTTCCTCCAATTTATTCTCCAAAAGACCAGAAGTGCTTAGTAGGCTAAACAGTTTTGCTCACTTTGTTAACCGTTGATCATGAGTGACCTGCATCTGTCTCAGGAAAGCATCTGACCCACCACTTTTCAAAGTAGTGGGGTACTGCTGGGACTGCTGATTGAGTTCAAGATGTTTACCTCAAAAATATTCTAAACTCTCTCTAAACTGCATGGACTGCTGACCTATAGGCACAAACACTTGTGAAGAGTTAATCTCAACAGCAACCTCAACTAAACAAAATCTCTATTTCAGCAGGGGGGCAGGACTTTTCCATACAGTAAAGTGTTCATGAGTTCATGTTTAAGGAGATGAACTGCAGTTCACAAACCAGGTAAAATGTTTCTGTGACACACAAGCTAAAGCACTTGGTCACAGTTTATGTGAAGTTTGCTAAATGTCAGTTTCTTACTGCTACCATGCCAAACTAAAACTTAATATTCTTCAGAGGTGCTGGCTAGTAAAGTCTGCTATCTGACAAGACCAGAGACATTATAAAAGAGGGCTAAGTCGGGTGTAGTGCCTAGCTCAGTTCACAATGAGGCTATGTTAACCTATCACTTCACTACTCACTATAAAGTTAGATGTTTTCTTCTACCACACTTCGCTCCCGGTATATAAACACAGAAACCCTACAGCATGGTAATATCACACACTGGTGTAATCAGTGTTCCCTTTATTTCCACATAAGCGCAATGGAAATATTTGGCGGGAACCAACGTCAGTGCAGGGTGTCTCACTGGATACGAGGACATCTTTTCTGATTGGTTATTGATGCCCTGCACCATTGCTCACTTGCATAAAGTTGAGCAGAGTTGAACTTTCGCGCTTCACTCAAATCACTTGCTTCATGTCGCCAGCATTTTCATTTACAAAAATGGTTCTTTGAAAAGTCCATGTAACCATTCAAAAAAAAACATTTTAAATGCACTGAAAGTTCATCGTTCATCTGAAATAGATTTCCATTTTCTATTTCATAAAATGGTCATTCTATAGCACTGTCTCAAAGAACCCTTTCTGACACCTTTATTTTTAAGATTGTATGTGAACTCCGAGCCCTCAAAAATACCCATGCGTGCTTTCTTTACACAAAAATATTCATGCATAATAGCTGGCCGATAGTTGACCTGAATTGGAGAATTAAAACCAGCCCTTCGTGGAACCACTGTGTTGTGGTCCAGTCAGTGCAACACTTCAAAGTCTCTGGATTCAATCGCTCATTTTCTCCAATTCACTGTAAGACAATCCACATCATGTTCCGATCAGCAGTCCCCCTGAGCGGTACAGCGAGGAAGAGACCCTGGAGAGACGTGAGAGACACTGGAAAGACGACGAGGAGACTGATGAGAACAGAAAGAAAAAGAGACAGAACCATAACTGCCCTGCGCGAAGATCAGGAGAGGAAATGTAATCGGTACAACTCTTGAACGCAAAATGCTGCCTGGAACAAAGTCAGACAAATAAACGGAGATGCAGTACACATACACACATACACCCCTCACCCTCCTCAAAGGACAGCACTAATTGCAACAAGCTGCCGGTCAGAAGACGTAATCGTAAATCAGAACCCGCCACATTGCTTGGCAACAGCCTCCAAACACTCTGCGTGTCCGTTTGCTCCTGCCAACAACAACCCCCAATCTAAGCGGAGAAAGGGAAAGAATGAGACGGCAAAATGTGTCAGGAAAGCGGAAGAAAAGAGGAAAGAGGGAAGCGTGCGGGAACACAGAAATGATGGGGACGTCCTCATTAGGAGCTTAAGCTGAGCATAGCATAGAAATGACTTCAGAGAAGAGGTGGTGAAATAGTTGGCCTGGCACCAGCGGCCAATAAACAAAAGAGAAAAATGACCAAACATGGGCACGGACACACCCACAAACTACCAGCTCTTTCCAATTGCTGTCCGTTTTCCAACAAGGAGATGCTGAACACAATAGGCTTTCCCCACAATAAGGCCACATTCACATTACAAGCCTTACTGCTCAAGTCCGACTTTTCGCTCAAGCCCAATCTTTCTGCCTTGATAGTTCACAGTTGTGTTTGAAGATATACCCATATAGGTCATAACTGAACAGACCTTTGCCATAAAAAGAGAAACGTGCATGTTTTTGACTTTTTTTTATTTTTGCCCATGTTATGGTGCATTCAGAAGGTCCTCATAAACTTTGTGAATTCTGGGTTTACCGCAAGGAAGCTGAACTCGAATGGCGGATAAAGCAGTAAATGCAAGTGGTAAACTCAGGCAAGTTCCATGTGAGTTTCACGTGGTTCTCAGATACCATGTGAACACCATGGACCAAGCTGGCCCATCCGAGTGGAAATACTGTTCATGTAAAAAAAAAAAAAATTACTAGTTGCCGATGACAGTCCAAATGCAAACAACTGACACTTACGACATAATAATTTTCTGATTTTATGGGTTGATGAGGAACATCTGAATGCACCATAAGCCTCTGCCAACACTGGATGATGACCAGTGACTTTGTGACCATATGTGAAGTTGGGGGAAAAAAAAAAGGAAAAAAACATGAATAGCCACATATGGATATGTATCTGATCAAAGATTAAATGTAGAAATGTTGAAAGTGGCTCAAATCTGATTCAAAATCATCTGAAAGATTAGATTTTCGTGTTCACACATCTCTGAGATATAAGACCTATGGTACATTTAAGTGTGAAAAAAAAAAAATGGACTTGCGCCACATCAACCCTGTAATATAAACATAGCCTAACCCAGCTGGACGTAAGGGGGGAAAGCCCAGCTCTTGTCCTTAACCCACCCTGCTCCTTCCAACAACATTCTCCCACACCATGCTCTGCTGACAGCTCCTTGCTGAGTCTCCTGCTCCACACCTATGTTAAGCATCTGTTTGATCCCACTACAAACCACAACCTCACTTCATGTTAAGGGATTTGTAATCCTAAGAGAAAAATCTCACAACAAAGTATAGGCTAATTGCATTGCTATAGCTGTGGAAGGAAAGCCTTTATCAAGCCGGCTACTGCAGTCAGAGAACAAAAGATTTTGAGGAGGGTGCTCCTGGAATTGCTACACTGTTATATTAATATCCAGACCTCTAGGGAAATTACTTCTCTCTTACTTTTAATTTTGGGAGAATATGGCTTAAAATATTATTACTGATGATGATCTGCTTGGTCTCTGCTTGAACTACATGTTCCCTAATCCCTAACTTCATCTCGAGAAGTGTGTTGTGTTTCACTAATTAAATGCTTCAGTGCCCTAAAATGAAACATGGCTCAGGAGAGTTGTTGAAAACAGAAAGCTTTCAGGGGCTTGAGCCT